GAGTTAAATTAAACTTAAAAATTAACCTAATTAATTCCTTAAAACTATAGATTCCTTGACCAAGACGAAATCAAAAGAAAAAGAAGAAGAAGGTACTATTACCTCAAAAGAAATCTCAACTAGCTAGAACTGTTTTGTGTTGAGCGAAGACTTTTCTCGAGATTGGCTAGACGCACTAACTAAAATACATGAAAAAAAAAAAAAGGATTGTCAAAGTTTACATTAACCCTATTTTGGTTAGTGCACTTTTATTAATTTTTATGTAGACCCACTACACAATTAAGCTACTGCTACTGCCTACTCATATGCTTCTGATCCCCAGAAAACTTCTGAATGGAAAAACCATGTGCCAGCTAGAAAATCACCATCATTAATTACTAATTTGATCTTGGCCTCCTCTATTGACCATTCGATACCAAAAAAACGAATGTTTGTTGATACATAACGATTGAAACTTAATGGATTTTAATATAAGCTCGGGAAAATGGATATTAGATTTACTTTAATAGCAAGCTATGATCACATGAAAGGTGACATTTCCTAGGGCTTAATTTCATGAGGGTGACCACTGGTCACATATATTGTTATAAAACTATGCGGAAGAAGTGAGGTGAAAGTCGGTGTATCTATGTGTAATGGTGAAATTAAAGATTAGGTTGGAGATCGAGGAGAGCAAGAATGCGACTTGTGAGCCTTAATAGACGGGTCAAACAAGAACTCATAGTCCATTAATCTCTTGCATTTTAAGCAAGTTTAGATCCCTCCCCTCCCTCCCTTCAATCTCCATAAACATACCCTTTTTTTAGGTTTCCCTCCTTTTCTTTACCTACCATGATTCTAACATTTGCGACTTACTATCATAACTTGTTTTGCCTAATCTATGGCCTTGTTTATAGAACACGAACCTAAATAACTATGCTAACTTTGAAAATCTTTAACTCAATAGAAGCAAATACATGTGAGTTTAGTTTACAGATTGATTGTCAAATAATTTTTGTAAGGTGAAACAGATAATCCAAATATTTCAATGGTTCTAATTTCTTCAGTTGTAATGAAATGAGAGAAGACTACCCCTCGACCCTCGTCATATAGCACTTTGCCTTCTCAGTCAGTGGAATAAATAAGCTCACAGGGAGATATAATATTAAATCTTTTAAGGTGTAGCCTTAAATTATTATATTATAAAAAATCCTAAAAGGAGTAGTTTTTTTAATGTACACCATGCCATTGTAACCCTTCATAAGATTTACATGATGATTTTTCTTCATTTTGGTCATCAAATCTTTCTTTAGATGATTTAATTTTGATTATAGTCAAATTAAAAATCAATTGCTTTTGGTATGTTAACTAAAGAAATATTTTAAAAAATGTAGAATCAAATTAAAAAAATAAGGAGAAACTAGATGGCCATATCAAAATTGATTGAAAAAATTGACTTTCATTCTCTTACTATACAACTCATTCATTTTCAATTCTTTCAGTTTTTTATTATTTGTTACATTTTTTTTATTTTTCAATCCTTGGTTTGAGGTGGGAAAAAAAAAGTCATTGAATTCGAGTTTTGCTTAATCTAGTTAGTTGATACCAATATTTTTTACCACCAAAATAATCGATTTGAATATTAATTGGTTTTATTCGATGAAATTAGTTTTCACTTGGTGTTCTTTTACCTTGAGATTGCATGGGAGAGTAGATCCTTGAAAAGTTTTTGGGTTTCAAGTTAATTTTTATTTTTGGATATTTTTGAGTTGTTTGAAGGTATAAATAAGTTTTTTTTTAATGTTTATAGATTATTTTTTATAAAAAAATAATTAAAAATAAATTTGTTAATGCAAAACACCCTAACTTGATTTTTCAGTAACTAGAATGATTTTATGGCAATCCTTTAATTGCTAGAATTTAGGTATAATAAGTGATACGTCGTCTACTATAGTAGATGACACACACTTGTGCTATATATATATTTTTTAAAATAAAATAAATTATCAAAATCTAGTTATGCTAGCAGGCTCATGCGTTTGAGATGTTTTCTATTAAGACCTAGATGCACTAGGCTATCTAAGCCTGTGTGCATGGGTTTTTTTTGGTATTTTTTTATCAGTTTCATTTGATTTATTTTTTAAATAAAATTATGATTTTTTTTAATTTTATCCTTTATCCTTTAGTTTATTTTAAATTAATTTTCATGATTTAATTTATTTTATTATTTATAAAGTTATCGTGATATTATTGATTTTATGAAAATCTAATTTTGTTGTTGTTTTTTTTCTAGTCATTTAAGGTTTTTTTAGACTTAACAACTTCAGTAAATTATATTAAAACATATAAGATTATTTTTTTTATTCTAGAGAAGATGTTAGCAGCACCAACCTTTTTTATACGATAAAAAAATAATCTGACCCACAGATTAGCCCTAGTCAATGATTAGTATATTCTATAAGATTTCAAGTTCCAATCTCTAATTTTTTAATCCAAAACCATCAAGTTATCAATCAAGAAAAGATAAATGAAATATATACATGCTAGATTTAAGTAAATATGTAATAATAATAGTAAATATATTGCAAATAGAGATTTGTATTACCCGTAACATGGCGCAATATTTTTCTTTGGCTGCTAGTTCAAAAAACATCATGTACAAGAGGATTTCTTCCAAATAAAAATTTAATTAGCCAAGAAAATACAGTTTGTTCGTTTTGTATTATTAAAATAGAATTGCTGGTGATTTTTTTTCTATATTGTAGACACATTTGGATTTTATAAAACATGTTTTTAAATTGATACTTAGGTATTTAAGGGTGAATGTCATAAAGTACTAATCAGATGTTAACAAGTGGAGTGATATTGTGAAAGAAAATTTTCAAAGTCAAGCAATTACCTTAGGTTAATATGGAATATTATGGGGTATTTAGTTGGTTATGAATAAGCTAACTTTAAATTAATACTCAACCATCGTGCTCTATGGTTGAAGATCTTTCAAGCTAACTTTATGTATATAAGTTTGGAGTTTTTTAGAGGTGAGGGGGGATTTTAAAATGGACCCACATGTAAGTGTTTTGTTTAAAGCATTTCTTTTTTTTTTTTAATTTCCATTTAACCAAGATATTTTTTTTTTCTTGTTTTCTAGTTCGCCTTTTTCTTATCCTTAATGGCCCTTGAATCCTAATAATATTTCTTCCATTACTATAAAAAAAATAGTAAATATATATTCCAAGTCACTAGAAATGTATGCATGCTACGGAAAAATTCCAATGTTGGATTATTCTTTTGAACATGATTAAAATGACAAAAAATATTATTAATTAATTTTTCGCCTCAACGTTAATTAATAAGTAGAATTAAATGTGATCGATTTTGCATGATTTGATAACAAGAAACCCCTTTCTCACATGTATTCATCAAACAGAAAAGTTTTATGAAGTTTAGACTACACAATCAAAGCCGGCCTCTCCTAATTCGCAATATTTCCACCCTAAGACCATTTGAACTTGAAAGTTTTAGATATAATTTAGTTTCCGGCCTCTCTTGGGTTGTTCTGTGTTTAATGACATCTGGTTTGAAGGTAATACAATGAACCGAGACAAAGTTCAATATATTTTACCATTGTGACTATAAATGTTAACGACTTTACCCATATAATCAGATAAGGACGAGAAGTGCTGATCGAAATGGTAAATGGTGTCGTGACCGAATGGCAAGTCCTACTATTGATGTATTTATAAGAGGGAAGCACACAACATGAAAGGGTTTTCAATAAACAAGAAATTAATTTCCAAATTTTGTTTTTGATTCATTGCTGTTTCTGATCGCCCAAATCACAAATGATTGTCAAAAAATATTAGAGTCAACTACTTCGGTATCTCTAGCATATTGCTACTGTTTTGGTCATGAAAAGAGGGTATAACTTGTAAGTGAATCCCAGATAGATAATTTCCTGGTTAGTCATTTCTACTTTTCATATGTATAGCAGCCTTGGTTACATTTCTTTATGATATTGTGGTTTGTCATTGGAAATTTCTTGTTCTTGTATTATTTTTTTCAATAATCCTTACTTAGATTACCATTTCTGACTCTTAGAATTGTTGATTTGGACGGTTTAATGAATTTTGTCATCCACTTGATCAATTCAGATTTAAATCTGAGAAAAAGCTATGAAAAAGAATTTTTATTTTTATGAATTCACTAGTTTGGAGTATGTCTAAAATCTCCAAATTCAATTCCATACTGGTGCATCAAGTGGGACTAATCCTCTCTTTAAGAGTGTAGCCCTCACATGTGGGGACACGAAGCTTGCTTTCTCATTTGAACTTAAAAAACAAGAAAATGAGAAAACTTGACATGAACAGGTATGATGTTGTTCAGAAAGTCACGTCAAGATAGAAAGAGAAATAAAAAAAATTAAAACCAACTTACCTCCTAAAAAAGCCTTTAATCTCGGTGTAAAGATTTTGGATTTCATTTTAGAAGACAAAAAGATCCATAGCATTGTCAAATGCAGGCAATCTTTTGAATTAATTCTCTACCATCTTGTTTTATGATTAAAGAATTTTGAAGTTAAATTTATGTATGCATGTTTAAATATTTTTAGCAATTTAGAGAAAACTTTAAAATGGATATACATGAAGAACATTTTTGCTTAGAACGTTTCTTATCTGTTTTAATTGCTTCGATCTTTTTAATTTTCATGTAACCCAGATGATTTTTTACTTTTTTTCTAGTTTATCATCTCTTTTTATAGCCCTGAATTCTTAATAATATTTCTTTGATTAATATATATAAAAAAATACCAGCAATCTTGGCATTCTCTTATCTTTTCCATCTCCTCTTCCAATGACCTAACCCCTAGAACATTAACTTCTTCTACATTTACTAATATTTATCACCTACATGATTACAAATTTCGTTCTCTCTTCACCATTATCTTTTTTTTTTCTCCTTCATTATTTAAAAAATATATATTGACCTACTACTACCTTGCCTTTTAAGCACTCCTTTCTCTATTCGTATTTCTCTTTCTCCTTCATTTTGAAACTCTCCCTTTGTCATCTCCACCCCTCTCCTCTCCCTTTGATATAGACAACCAACTAGCATGCTTGAATGTCCAGAGACAGGTAAGAAGGAATCACCCTCAAGAGAAATGAATAAGATCTATATTCTCTCCACAAAGGCAAAACCCTAGCTTCTACTAGCCTATTAAATATTTAGAACTCTTCTGGACTTCTCTAATCTGTTTGTTTCTTTCTCTATTTGAAATTTTGATAAGAAAAATATAGTGTTTTCTTGAAATATCATGTGATATTGTTTTTTCCTTTGGTGTTTTAGGGAGAGATCTGAAGAGTTAGGAAAGAGGATCAAGAGGGAGAGTGATGCATCTTCTCTTATGGGGAGGAGACAAATGTTAGGTCCTCCTGTAATTTTGAACACTGTTACACCTTGTGCTGCATGTAAACTTTTAAGGAGAAGATGTGCTGAAGAGTGCCCTTTTTCTCCATATTTCTCTCCGCATGAACCCCAGAAATTTGCTGCTGTCCACAAAGTCTATGGTGCAAGCAATGTCTCCAAGCTGCTAATGGTAATTAAGCTACCCTTCAATTCCCTATAACATTTAATCTATTTAATTTTCATATAATTTTTTTTTTTACAAATTTTGACATTCTTGATTTTTTTTCTTGATGAATTATGGATTTTTTTTAAAATTTATTTTTCCTTGGCTTGGTTATATTATCTAGGAGGTGCCAGAAAGTCAAAGAGTCGATACTGCAAATAGTCTAGTTTATGAAGCGAACTTGAGGCTAAGAGATCCAGTATATGGCTCCATGGGTGCAATTTCAGCTTTACAACAACAAATTCAATCATTACAAGCTGAACTTAGTGCAATAAGAGCTGAGATACTCAACTACAAATACAGAGAAGCTGCTGCTGCTACTAACATCATTTCTTCTACTCATCCTGCTTTAGTTTCTTCTGCGACCGTGTCCATTTCAACACCATCACAAACACTTGCTCCACCACCACAACCACCTCCTCCATCAGTTGTTGTTTCTTCATCTTCCTCTTCTTCTCTTTATACAACACCAACTAGCACATCAGGTTATAGCACTATTTCAAGTGAAAATAATGTCCCATATTTTGATTAATTTTATTCTAGACCATAGTCGGTTTTTATACAATTACCATTGCATGTGGTATAATAATGTTGCCTTATGTTTAATGGTAACTTGTTGTAAAGATTGAGAAGTCATGGGGAAAGAAAGAGAACCCGGGGCATTAAATCAAAATCGTAGTGAATTTTAAGGACCTGAGAACTTCCCGTTTCATAATTTCTTATGACATTGTTGCTTTGTTTTAAACTCTCATCATTCTTGAAAATTCCTTGCTCATTGTTTCGATGAGAGAACTATTAGCTAGCTACCTGTCTAAAATTTCATGTATATTAGGGTTTTTGTTGCCTGCTGGCTGCAACATTTTCCTTTCATTTTCATGGTGAGACTAAAAACTTCTCCTTTTAACTTTTTTTTAGGAAAAAACAAGTTCTGACCATGGAATCCAAACCCATTTGATCGAAAGGACAGAAGAAAAATTTAATTAAGCTCAGTGATACTAGGTCATATATTCGTCAAAATTTTACTCCATAGACAAAGCAAAAATCATCATGTAGTAATGGAAGCTATTCCTAATTGAGTTAGGAAAAGATTTTTATATTAAAATAATTTGTGTGAAAATATTTCTATTTAAAAAAGAAATCTCTACAAATTTCAGGACCAGTGTACTCAAAATTAATGAGTGTTGAATCAATCCATCAATAAAAACTTTGAAGGTTAAAGATTTGAATGTTTAGTAATCTCAACACTCCTTTGACTATGGTGTTATGGGCACATCTTGCTGTTCATATTTACAATCTCTCGTGATTTGAGTCTTGATTGCACGTGTGGTGACCGAATAGGCTTTGCATTCACTGAACCTTCCAATAAGCACATGCATGTGTATACATGTTTGTCTGAGCCATTGAAGGAACTGAAAATCTTGTTTATGGGACGTGGGGGAGGCAAAAGGTACGGTGGGGCTGTGATTCTTCCCATGTATATTAAATTCAGGATCCTACATTGAATTCCAAGAGTCATATTTTACCAAATGCCTCTTCTGTTTCCTTTGTCACATGGCTTTATCAATCCCAGACAATCTGCAATAATTATTTATTTTTATAATCTTTAGATAAGACAAGAGATCACATTTATTCCAATTTTACATGCATTCATTCATCACTTTTCCTATATATAATTATATATCATTAATTATCTTTCTTTATGTTTTGCTTGTTTTTTGAGCAATACTGTAAGATCTCGGTGAAGATTCTACCCATCACTTCCTGAAGAGTTTGAAATCGTTGAATTCTAGGAGTCATTAGTGAGATCCACTTATTCAATCATAGATTTTAGTGGGAAAACTTTTGGAAAATTAGAATTATTCTTTTTTTATTTAATGATTGGCTTCATGGCAGCTTCACCTTTCTAGTTTTTTTTTTTTATCCTCTCCCTTACAAATAATCAATAAAGTAGTTTTTCATAAGAAAAAAAAAATTCAATCAAGAAGTATGATATTGGCTTATGCTATTTGATAAATTTGAGGCTTCAACTAGCTAAATAAGTATACTAATTAGTCTGGAAACACAACACGTATGGATCTAATTTCAGTTTTATCATACAGTAAGCCGAAATGGAGTATTGATGTTGAAGAATGGTACTTTTCATATGGTTTGCAATAAAGATGTATTGATAGAACAAAATATATTGATTACAATTTTGTTAGCTACATCTTTCCATGCATTCACCAAAAAAAATAACGGGAAGGATCGATCGCCATTTTGTTCTTGTTTTTCTTTCTTTTTCTTCTTTCAGCCAACCAATAATTTTTTGAATTTGGATACTGGCCAGTTCACATGACTCCTTGTTGAGTTCTTACAATGTATTTTTTAAGATGCATTCCCACCTCACCTCTTCTATTCGTCTCCAAGTAGCAGTTTTGTTGCGCTAGATCATCCCAACGTGCTTTATGTCGGCCACAAATCTTTTCTTGTTTTCAAGTACTTTAAGGCAAGGAACCAAACCATGGAGGTATGGAAGGATGGATTGACGCATTCTTTATTTTGAATGACTACTCTATTTAATAAATTTTGGATTATACAATAAAAGATAGTTCTTCCTCAATTTATAAATTACTTCGGATTACAAAAAAAGAAATTCAATCCCTGGATCCCCTCTCCATCTCTTCCGTTTGAACTTGAGATTTTCAAATGCAAAATTCTAACTTCTATCTTTTTAAAACCTCGTACGAGGCAGCTTAGGATAAGAGTTAGTTCAACTCTGGACCATAATTTTTTTTTTAAATTCAAAAATTTATTGCTTTGACAAAAAAGTTCAATAGATTAACAGTCGGGTTTTGATCGATTTAAGCTAAGTTCATCCATTAATCCATTTATTAAGACAATTATGTTTTTTATTATATCATTTTTTTTTGTTAACTCAAATTAATTCACCTTCTTGATTTTTTGATAATCTTATAATAATATTAAGTAGTTATAAGTTGGAATCTCATCATTCCTATTTATTTTATAAAAATTAAGTGTAAGATAATATGAGTTTATATAGATTTAAGTATAGAAGGTTTTTATTTGAGAGAGTATGTTAAAAAATAATAGGTTTAAGTATAGGTTTAAGTATAGAAGATTTTTATTTGAGAGAGTATGTTAAAAAATAGTATAAATTATATATTAAGTTAAATTTTTTTATTGAAATAATTATTTGATAATTGATAGACTCATTAATGCAACTCAGGTTATTAACCATATTAACTATTTTTTTTTCATTAATTCAGATCCCTGATCTGATCTGTCGAGTTCTAAATCAACCCCCTGTACTGTTACTAGTTTTAAAACAATGGTTTTAACTTATGCGATGCCTACTGAGAAAACAGTGTACATGTACTTAATGATCGGAGTCAACGTTGTCCGATCAAAACGCCAACAAGATTTGATTTGTGAAATGGGGTTTTCTTGGCGTGTGGAGCTCATTTGATTAAGTAGAATAAGCAAGGAATAGTTTTGGATTATAATACAAACAAAACCATGAAGAAAGTGTATACATAATATGCCTAACATCAACTTCAATGCCGAACTCTATATAAAATGTATAGCATACAATAGTGATAATTTGGTTTCACGTCATGGTTGCTTGAAATATTCGCATCCAATTACTTTGTCCTTTCCCATGAATACCACCAATAAAAATTTCTTGATATATATTAAAAAAAAATAATTAAAATATGCTTATTATGGAATGTGCTATATTATAGAAAATAATGTAATTATCTTACATAGAATTATTGTGTGTAATATGGTGTATTTTAACTTACATATGTTGCCTTATCAATGTGTGTGTGTGTGTATGATTGTTGTCACATTAGGCTAAGCCTTTTATTTTACACAAAACTCTTTCTTGTTATCCTTTTCAATTTGGTATAAAAGTCTTTATCCTAACATTTGTTTTTTCACGAGCAATGGATTCTATATACAAGCAAGTTCCTGCTACTGCTGTCAGCCTTCATATCAGTTCTTCTTCTCTTGAATCTTCTTCTTTGGTAGCACCACTACCCATACTCACGTTTGTCAATATCGTTCAACTCTTCTTTGCTACTACTCTGATCTTTATTCACATTCCCTTCATGTCCGCGTCATCGGTCTTTATTCCATTGGCAACCATCATCCCTCTCACTTGAAGCTCACCAACAAGAACTACCTCAATTAACGGATGATGCAGATGAAACTATATCTAATTAGTCAAGGTGTTTTTCTATTTGTTAATTAATGTCTTGTTTCCATGCCCTTCTCCCATGTCATGTCGAGTGCTAATTCTGCCATCTCAGCCACCTTCGGTTTAATTATTAATCAAGCTTTTCTCTCGTAAAAACGAGAAGAAAATTTACTATTATTTATGTAATCCCATAATGATTTATCAAAAAAATTTAAAAAATCAAAAAATTTAGTCGCGTCTATATTAGGTTCTTCTTCTATGATTGGATATTAACTATCATTCTCTTTATTCATTCTTATTTTATTCATGTAAGGAATACTTTTGTTATTTACAACTCTATGCATGTTGTTGGCACTAGAAGTTGACCCAATCATTTTTTTTACCATACTCTCGTTATGAACAAATAGTTCTCCTGTGCATACCAATACAAGTAATCATTTATGAACTCTTTGTGTACAAGATGCATCGTTACAACATCTGGATTAAAAAACTTTTTATTTTTTCACCCCTGCATGGACACCTAAAATTGTCTCCACTAATATTTCTTGGAATAGAAGTTGCAAAATTAATAAAACTTTGAACCTCATTACAATAATCCATCCTCTATAATTCTTGGGGTGAATCTTGATATATCTGTTACACGTGTGTGGCATCGTGACGATCGTCCACCATCCATGAAAAGATGGGATATTTGTAGCAAGATATGAAGAGACAAGGAATTCTTGTCTCTTATCAGTGGAAAGTTTGAATGGGAATCGCCACCTAGTATTCTTGTCACTAGAAACCCTAACTGGTCTCAGAGATCGGGTACGGAGACTGGTTGCGTAAAAGGAAAGTATTAGCACCCCAAATATACCCTACCTAAAGTAGGCTGTATTGTTTTATCTGATAAAATATAAAGTCATGTTGTGGTGTCTAATTATTGATCTATTTAAGGTTTAAGAAAAGTCCTCTTTTGTAAGGGGATCTTTGTCATATCAGGTAAAAACCTAGTTGTTCTATGTTGTTAATAAAAACAAATACCCTTTTAATATCAGGAATACATGTTACGTATAACCTCATAATCCCTGATACTAAAACAAAAAAATTTTTGTTGTTTTTTATATTTTGGTCAATGTTCTCTTGACTTTAATAAACTGGTTATTAAAGCCAAAATGCATGCTAAAATATTATTTTTGATCTATGAAAAATACAATATGATTTTTTAGTTTTGAGACACTTGGTCGTATACATAAAAATATTTTTTTGTTTATTTTCAAATTTTTTTGTAAGTTTTGACAAAAATCGAGTATTTTTAATACCAGATTTGTATTTTTTATGACATAAAATACAAACCAATACTAAGCAAAAAGGCATAAATAAAAAAAAGAGGAGAAATTAAAAAAAATAATTTTTAATTTTTTTTTGAAATGGGCCGAACCTAGCCCAGATCAATGGGTTAGGCCAGACCCAGCCCAAAACAAAATGGGCCGGTTACTGTGCATACAGTAACTAGTGCATAGTAACCAGCCCCCCTCATTTGCTGCAGAATGTGAATTAATTCA